GCTGTGGGATGGTGTCTCCCACACTCAGCAGAGGTTTCCCCATATCAGTTAGCCCTCTCTGGGAACAACCTCACAGACACGACCAAAGGTATGCCCTAGGCAGCACTTGATCCAACCAAATTTTAATCCAATCAGAAATTTTGGAGCTGGAGAGATAGTTCAGTGGCCCAGGTTTCAAGCATGAGACCTGAGTTCAAATTCAGCACCCACATGAAAAGCCTGGCCCAGCTATACACAGGTTTGTTAACCCCAACTTCATGGAGACAGAGACAGGAGAGGTTGGGTTGCTGGCTGTCAGTGCATCTCCAGCTTCAATATGAGAGCCTGTCTCAAGTGAATAGGTCAGAGCAGAATAGAGTAGGAGTCCTAAACCCCGCCCCCACATTATCCCATACTATCATATGGAATTTAGCTGTCACTAGACATCTATATTTCATCTAATATTTGTATAAGCCCTTCTTACAGGCTATTGTGAGGGGCTGTTGCAAGAGCCATAGACAAGGGGGAGCCTCCACATTGTCCCAGTTTCTAAGTGTCGCTGTAGCCTCCGTGCTGAGAGTGGAGGACACAGGTGGACACAGGCAGGCCTGGGCAGCTGGCGAGATGATCCACCTGTAAGGGTGGGCAATAGCTGAGACCACAGCTTCAGCAGAGAAGGCATTCAATCTAGACACAGGTGGATATGTGCTGAAGGAAGAAATAGAGGTATTTCAACGTGGATTAGGTGTGGCATGTGAGAGGCAGAGAAAAGTCAAGCATGACTCCTGGGCTTCTGATTGGACAACCCTGGAGTGGCCACTGAGTAAGGAGAAGGAGGCTGTGGAGAGAAGGCACTGGAGCCCATGTCAGACATGCTGAACTGGTGTCCGGTCAAGTGAAATGAGGCACAATCACCAGATGGTTGATTTTATACCCTCTCCATTAAGAAAAACTCCAATAACATGATTTAAAAAGTCAACCCATCACTGGGGACAGATATTTTAAAATGTATTTGTTTTATGACATGTTTAAAGGTTCTTCATGCCTAAGAGGCCTTGAAATGTGTACAGGGAAGGAGTAGCCAGGATTGAAATTTAGTTTCCTGGTATCTTCTATGCTATCTGAACAGCAAAGATGAACTCAACCCTGTAGACAAAAGTTTCTGTCCAGCCTGGTCCCACAACCATTCAGTCCCAAAGAAACACACAGAGGCTTATATTAATTATAAACTGTTTGACCTATTGCTCAGGCTTATTACTTTCTAGCTCTTACAACTTAACCTATAATTCTTGTCTATGTTAGCCATGTGGCTTGGTGCCTTTTATCATCAATAAGGCATTCTCATCTTGCTTCCTCTGCATCTGGCTGACAACTGTGTCTCTGCCTTTTCTCTTCCCAGAATTCTCTAGTCTGTTTGCTCCACCTATACTTCCTGCCCTGGCTACTGGCCAAGCAGTTTTATTAAGCCAATATGAGCAACATGTCTTTATAGTGTACCCCAGCACCGTCCCACAGCAGCTCCCTGAGATCCTGCTTCCCACTCTGATGACTTATTTTTCCAGAGATGCTTTTCTTCATCTCCACACACGCACGCACATAAAGAGAAACACCTGACTACTCAGCTCCTCCCCACCAGAGGCTGGAGACACAGATTAGTATGTTGGATAGCTTTATGTGACAAGCTAGGGTCATCTGAGATGAGGGAGCCTCGATTGAGAAAATGTCTCTATAAGACTGAACTGTAGGCAAGCCTGTTAGACACTTTTCTTAGTTAGTGATTGGTGGTGGAGAGGGCCTAGCCCACGATTGTTGGGGGGAAACCCCTGGGCTAGTGGTCCAGGCTTCTATAAAAAAAAAAAAAGCGGGCTGCACAAGCCATGGAAGCAACCCAATAAGCAGCATTCTTCCATGGCCTCTGCATCAGCTCCTGCCTCCTGTTGCCTGTCCTGTTTGAGTTCCTGTCCTGACTCCCTTCAGTGATGATCTATGATGTGGAAGTGTAAGCCAAACAAACCCTTTCTTCCCCAGTTTGCTTTTAGTCGTGATGTTTCATCAGTGCAATAGAAACACTAGATAGGACGTAAATTGGTAGCAGGAGTGGAGTGTTGCTGTGACAGACCTGACCATGTGTTTTGGGTACTGTTGTGGAAGAGCTTTGGAATGTTGGTCCAGAAAAGCCATTGACTGTTGAGAGCTAAGTGGCCTGTTCTGTGGGAGCCTGAAATACAAGAATTTGAAGTCAATGTAGATGATGAGGCCTGGCTTGTGAAGTGTCAGAGGGAAGTTAAAGACTGTTGGAGCCTTTTGTGATTTTGATTTACAATGCTGTGGTTCTGGCCAGCTAGGGTTGAAGAAAGAGCTGTGATTAACAAGAGACCAGCACCACTAAAGTGAAATCTTTGCTTTGCTGGGACAACTGATGCTGGTTAGCTAGATATGAGGAAATAGCAGTGATTGAGGAGAGACCACCATCACTGAGGTGAAATCTTCAGGGAAGTGTTTCCTGAGAGCACACAGAAGCTGTGTTCCAGAGGCAGCCAAGGTTGTACTTGGTAATGTGTAAAAGTCCCCCAGGTGCTACTGGTTTTGAAGGCAGGAAGGGGTAATGGGGAGCAGCTGAGGCTGGCAATAGGAGAGGCCTGGAGAGGGCATTGGAGAAGCTACAGCTCAGGAGCAGTGGAAGGCCCAGGATTGAAAGGTCCTGCAGGAATGTTGAGGCTTGACACCAAGAAGACAGCCCAGGATAGGCTGTTGGCGAAAGTTCAGTCCAGTTGCAGCAGCACGGCCCAGGAGTTTGGAGATGCCGGGACAATGGGATGGCCACCAAGAGCAGCAGCAGCAGTGGAGTGGAGCCTGCCCCAGCTTAAAATATGAGCTGTGTGTGCTGCAGAGGGTGGGGCTGAAGAAGTGACCCAGCCCTTTGAAGGAGCCCAGAGGATCATGAATGAATCTCAGACTCTGGATATTGAGTTGTTTTCACTACTGGAGTTTGGTTTTGCTTTGGTCTGATTGTAACTATGCCCTGGCTCATCCCTCTTGAAGTAAGACTGTATTTAACTTATTTTTTATTTTATAGGAGCCCACAGTTCAGAGACTTTTGATTTTAAAAGAGACTGTGGTTTCTTTTTTTTTTTTTTTAAAGAGGTGGAACTTTAAGCTGTTTGCATTTGTAAGGCTGTGGGGTATTTAAGTTTGTAAAATGTTTTGTAGCGTGATGTTTATATTGATGTGTGATCTTGGGAATGAACAAGAAAGGAAAGGAAAGGCTGTGACTTACAGCGATGCTCTTGTGTTATTGACACAGGATCGGTTGTTCTGTAGAGGGTTTTTTGTTGTTGTTGTTGTTGGTTTTTTTTTTTTTTTTGATTTTTCGAGACAGGGTTTCTCCGTAGCTTTTGGTTCCTGTCCTGGAACTAGCTCTTGTAGACCAGGCTGGCCTCGAACTGACAGAGATCCGCCTGCCTCTGCCTCCCGAGTGCTGGGATTAAAGGCGTGCGCCACCACTGCCCAGTGTTCTGTAGAGTTTTATTTCAATTGTCACAAGCTAGAGTCACCTGAGAGGAGGGAATCTCAATTAAGGAACCGCCTCCATAAGATGGGGCTGTTGGCAAGCCTGTAGGGCATTTTCTTTATTAGTGACCAATGTGGGAGGGCCCAGCCCATTGTGGGTGGTGCCATCCTTAGGCAGGTGGTCCTGGGGTCCTTAAGGAAGCAGGCTGAGCAAGCCACGAGGAGTAATCCAGTAAGCAGCACCCCCCCACAGCCTCTGCATCGGCTCCGACCTCCAGATTCCTCCTTGCTTGAGTTCCTACCCTGCCTTCCTTCACTGATGGACTATGATGTGGGAGTGTAAGCCAAATGAACCACTTCTCCCAAGCTTGCTTTTGGTCATGGGGTTTCGTCAGTCACTGTAACCCTGACTGAGAATTGAAGTAGCCACCCCGGTGCCCCCCAGCTTCTTTGAGTATCATGGAGTAGGGACCCTGAGGACAGTTCTTGTCCTGGCACGGTGCCCCCTGATTGTCTCTGGATCAAAGACTTTGTTGGTTGCAAGGGACTGCAGGTATTGGCTCAGCTGCTTTCCTTTAATCCAACGCCTTGATAGAAAGGAATCTTTCTTCTGCCACAATTAACCAGTATTTCATTTCTTCGTTGTTTTCTTTCTGAAATCTTTGTGTGTGCTTGTGCGCGTGCGCGCACACGCGCACCAGCCTGTATGAATGGAGATCAGAGGGCAACTTTGGAGTCATTTCTTGCCTTCCACCTTGTTTCAATGAGGGATCTTTCTTGTGTTTCTGATACCTGCAAGATTCCAGGCAATTCTCCCATCTCTGCTTCCCATCATGCAGCAGGAGTGTTAGTATTACAGGTGCGCTCTATTGAACTGAATCTTCAGTGGACTCCAGTAATCAAACGCAGATCACCTGGCTTGTGTGGCAAATGCTTTTCCTACCGAGCCGTCTTTCCTTTTCTTGAACAATCATCATTGTCTCTTTCTGTTATACTTTTGGTATGGTTGAATTTGGCAGTTTTAATATGGCTATATTTAAGGTTATCTGCAACTCTTACCTCTGTAATAGAACTGCCCATTCCCAAGGATCATGGGGGAGGAAAATAAATAGTTGGGGATGAGTCTATAAACCACAGCCTCTTTTATCTAGAGCTGTTATGTATTGCTTCTTTTTAAAAGTTTTGTTTGTTTATTATGTATACAGTGATCTGTCTGCCTGTATGCCTGCAGGCCAGAAGAGGGCACCAGGTCTCATTACAGATGGCTGTGAGCTAGCATGTGGTTACTGGTAATTGAACTCAGAACTTTTGGAATAGCAGACAGTGCTCTTAACCACTGAGCCATCTCCCCAGCCTTGTATGATTGTTTTAAATTCTAACAGTATTTTAAAGTGGTACACTCTTCCAGAAAGGAGGTTTGTTGTTGATTTTCAGTAATGACTGTGTTTTATTTTTATGCTAAGAAGTTCTGATTAAGTGAAAAATTACCTAGTGTTTCCTGTGTTTTGCAGGCCTGGAGAGGGACAAGTTTGACAACAAGACAGTCTCCTTCGAGGAGCACATCAAGTCAGAGCACAACATGTGGCATTACCTGTACTTCATCGTCCTGGTGAAGGTGAAGGACCCGACAGAATACACAGGGCCGGAGAGCTACGTGGCACAGATGATCGCGGTGAGTGCGGCTGGCTCAGCCACTCCTGATTCTCCAGCTGAGCTCATGTCGCAGCTCGGAGGCCTTCAGTGTCCAAGTCTCCCCTGCCCCCCTCTTGGGTGAGAGATATTCTGGCTCTGACTTTTTGTGAGCCTTCAAATAAGCTTGTCAGTTGCTGGAGAATTTCCACACTGTTATCATCCTTGTTATCTGATCAAATCTATGTCTCCAGCGCACGGATAGCATTCTCCCAGGGATGATCTGTGTAGTGAAGAGCTTCCCCTTGAAATCTCTGACCTCTGACCCCCTAAGCCCTGACCTCCAGTCATCACTGGACCTCTCAGTTCCCAAATCTGGAAGTTTCATATTGTCGCATGCAAATCGAAGAGTCATGCTTCAAGAGATTTCTTGAATTTCCAAAAACAATAACTCAAAAAGGCTTGTGTTTATGAATGTGTGTTTTTAGGTGAGCCTGGTGGGAGACCACTGGTTTTGGCTTTAGAGGAAGCTGACCCTTCTGCTCAGTCCTAAGTCCTGGTGTTGAGTCAGCAATGGTGACAAAGCGAGGTAAAGAGAGTGAGTTAAGGAGAACGAGGTAGGGAGAGGGACCAATAAGAGGGAATGTGGAGGTAAGGGGAGCAAGTAAGATAAAGAGAGGAGTTAAGGGGAGTGTCTCTAGACATGACCCTGAAGGAGTAGGTCACCTACGTAAATAAAAAAGACACAATACTGCCACAGCCTGCCCACCCATCTATCCATCCATCCATCCAACCTCCATCCATCCATCCAACCTCCATCCAACCTCCATCTATCCAACCTCCACCCATCCAACCTCCATCCATTCATCATCTATTTATATCCATCTATCCAACCATCTACCTATCATGTATCTATCTTTCTATCCATCCACTATCTATCTATTTGTCTGTCTGTCTATCATTTCAACTATCAATACATCCATCCACCTGTTCGTCCATCTGTCTGGGCATTGTCTTATTGAAAGTGTAGGTTGGCACAGTGTTGATTCTCTGACCTGTCAGTAGCTGTGTGTCTCCAGAAGACTGTGTGTAACTAGAGCTTTTATACCTTGGCATCTTCCTGGCATTTTCATCCTTGACTTCTGGTTATGACAGAATCTAGAATCTTGTCTGTTTCCCCACATTCACCTTTCTCTCCTCTTCCTTTCCTGTCTGTGGGGGAAAGGTACTGAATCCCCTTAGGGACTCTATCATGGCGTCGTTCATGCGTTCTGGACAGTGTTTCTGGGAAACATTTCCCATCTGTTGATTAGGAGAAGAGCGTCTGAGACATAGGACTTACGGGTGTGACCTCATAGCTGTACTCTATCGAAGTTGAGTAAATTTAATAATTTTATATTATCTGGCTTCTGTTAAGTCTTCTGTATGAAGTATTTCTGAGAACACAGTGCAAAGAATGGCATATCCCTCTCCGTAGAGCTCAGTTGTGGGGGAACGGCCAACTGAAAGTGGTGGTGTGCCATGTTTGCCCAGTCATGTGACGAGAACTTGTAGAGGCTGACGGTCACAGAGGGCATCCGATGTGGAAAGGTAGTTGGGAGTGTCTTGTGTGTCCTGGGGAGGACAAGGCAGGACTTGTGCGGTGGGGTTTGTCTGCTGGATCTGAGTGAGCTCTTGTGAGGGACAGCAGGAACAGCTGGGAATGAGTTACTCAGACCCTCTGAGATGTTAGTTAGCTGTCACCATCGGCGTGGCAAACACCTGATAGGTCTCGAAGGAAGAAAGGTGTGTGTGTGTGTGTGTGTGTGTGCCTATGTGCCTGTGGTGGGGGTTATAGGCAGCATGCATACATCCACACATGTGAAGCCAGAAGCTGACATCAGGTGTACCTGTCTTGATCACTTTCCACCTTCTGTTTGCTCTGAGACAGTCACTCATCAGATCTAGATGGGTGGTTTGAATGAGAGTGGACTCCATAGGTCTGAATACTTGCTCTGCCCTTGGTGGAACTGCTTGAGAAGGATTGGGAGGTGTGGCCTTGTTGGAGAAGGCGTGTCACTGGGGGTGGACTTAGAGGTTTCAGAAGTCCATGCCATTCCCAATTAGCTCTCTCTGCCTTGTGCTTGTGGATCCATGTGTAAGTTCTCAGCTGCTGCTCCAGCACCATGCCTGCCTGCCTGCTTCTATGCTCGCTACCATGATAGTCGTGGGCTCTAACCCTCTGGAACCATAAGCCAAATAAATTCTTTCTTCTATAAGGCACCTTGGTCACGGTGCCTTCTTACAGCGACAGAAAAGTAATTGCAACACTGAAGTTCACCATTTCAGCTAGACTGGTTAGTCAGTGCACTCCCAGGGTCCGTTGCCTCCGTCACGCCCCCGCCCCAGCACTGGAGTTGCAGGTACACATGTTGTCATGCCTGCCTTTTACATGGGTGCTAAGTCCTTGTTCTTGCAGACGGCAAGCGGTTTGCCTGCTGAGCCATTACCTCGCATTGAAAGATTGGTTTTGCTCATGGTTCCCCGGGTTCAGTCCACAACCACCTGGCTCTGCATTTGGGGCCCAGTGCAAGTGGAAAACTGTTCACCTAGTGGCCAACAGGAAGCAGAGTGGAACAGGCACCGGAAGCGGTGAGGGCAAGATGGAAGCCCTAGGGACACACCTCCTCCAGTGAACCTCACCTCCAGTAGTCCACCAGTGCATTAATGCACTCACTGGTCAGAGCCCCGGTGGTCGGATCATCTCTAGACAGGCCCACATGGTCACGGCCATACCCGCTTGCGCCCCTCCTCTCTCGGGTGCTTACCCAGCCAATCAAACTGACAGCCAAGATTGGTCACACACTCAGCCTCCTAGTTGCCCAGTTTCACTGCTCATAGTGGACCCACTTGTAGGAAGCTCTAAGAGGTGGCAGAAAAGCAGTCAAAATTTTGAGTAATGTATGTCAACATCTGAGTGTGGTTTCACTAGCCACAGAAATCCACCGATGATCACTGCCAAGAGATTGGTGTGGCCTAACATAGTATCAGGCTGTGGGGTGTGAGCTGCTGGGAAAAGAGAGCCCCAGAGATGAGTTTAACAGTGAGTGTGGGGGGGAGGGGGTGAGAAGGGGAGGAGGGCCAGACATCCGTGCACAAGAGTCTAGGCATGCCAAGAAAGGTGGTGTCTGTGGGCTAGGCCCTCTGTCTAGGGAAGAGACCCGAGTCTGAAGTGAGACTGGAAACGGAGCACGGTGAATTCTTCTGGATAGTGAAGTGGATGGAACCTCAGCTCTGCTGCGGGGATTGGGCATCCCGGACTTAGCTCTTACTCTCACCTAAAATGGGGAAACTGCTGCGTTCTTCCCAACGCACAGCAGTGTGTATGCTCAGCACTGCCTGGCACAATGACTGGGCCATTGCTCTTGATTGTCGCTGTGTAGTCCAGGCTGTCCTGGAACTCATGATCACCCCGCCTTCCTAACGCTAGGAGTTTATGTCTGTGCAGTCCCAGTTCCTGGCAAGCGTGGGGGCTTAAATAGTTCTCGTTCTGACAGCCACAGAGGGCGACAGAGGGTGGCCATCAGAACTGGCAGGCTAGCAAGGTGGGCAGAGGGGGGCAACAGGAAGAAAGGGACAGCTGGGACCCTGCTGTGGAAACTGAAGACAGACGCACCACAGCTAGATAAGTCTAGAAGGCAGAAGGCTCCAGGGGCTACAAATGTCAGTGTCAGAATTGACAGCCACAAGAAGCCGTGAAGAATGGGCAGGTGTGAGCTCTGGGCTCCATGAGGTGGAACTCTCTTCCTGCAGAGAAAGTCCAGTGACGACGGGCAGCCGTCTTCAGCCTTGCCATTCCGAGCAGCATTCTATCAGGCGGTCCCTCTTGATGTCTAAGTGTCACAGCTCTTTACTTGTGGTCCTGCCCCTGCCCCCTTATGTCAGAGCCCTTTTCCAGAAAATGGCTGAGTCTGGAAAACCGAAAGCCTGTATGTTAACACACCCGACTCAGAAACTTGGCTACTCCAGGCTTTCTGGGTTGCGGCCCTGTGGTCCTGACCCTCTAACACAGCTTTCAGCACTTACAATTCTACACTCACACCACAGCAGGCTCGTGGTGCTTCTTGGGGTTAGAATCAGAAAGCATGTTTGTGCCTCTGTGCCCGGCCAGTGACAGGAATCTAAAAGACTAATGAAAACGCGTCGGCCTTATTGCTTCCTAGCTCCGGAAACAAGCTTCTCAGTAACAGTGCGTGGACGTTTGAGTCGGCGCAAAGTGGACGCTCCTGGGACAATTAGGGAAGGTGTTTGTAGCTCAAGGTTACATGTGCACATTTTCTCCTGGCAAACAAACCTTTGTCTGTGCTCAGAGGATTGGTGTAATCACTGGGAGTGGAAAAGGAGAAGGGAAAAGGATGGAGCCTCCAGGAAAGTCAGGGAAGTGGAGCAGAACTCGGCGAGCTGGGTGAACATGAAGGAACTCCTGACCTGTCCTGGTGACAGCCTTTGCGCATCATCCGAGGAGCAGTAAACAGAACAGAGACTGTTAGAGAAGGCATGCCGGGCTTTTAGCTGCCTCCCCCCCACCCCCAACAACTGGGGACATTCTCAGCATCCAGTGTCATCTGTGGAGTTGTATTAGGGGCTTTGTGATATTTGCTACTTAATTTAACAAAGGGCCCAGGTCAAAACAGAGCTGCACACAAGAGGAGGTCCCTGTGTATTTAGAGGACGGATGTTTCCTGGTGCCCTTGTGGCATTGGCTGTCCCTGGGATCTCTTAGCTACCTGCCCTGTGACCGTGGTTTTTAGGGGCCACCCTGATAGCATATCACATGTCTAGGCTCCTTGTTCACTCAACTCTTAAGTAACAACTCCTTCCCGATCTCTGCAGTGTTGGCTGAGACATTTTAATTTGTAAGTTTTGGTAGCATAATAATCTATTTTAACACATACACACAAAAATTATAATTTTATCGAAGGCCTCAGCAGGGTATGTGGTGGCTCTTTGCTCTACACACTACCTGGGCAGTTGATATCTGAAATAAGTTTTAAAAACACTTTAGTAGACATGGGTTATCCCCAATATGCTGGCAACTATGCTAAAAGTTAGATGTTTACAGCTAAGTACGAAGCCATCGCTTCCTTTTAAGGAAACTTAAAGCAGTTTCTGAAGGAATAAGTGGAACAAGGAATTAATGAATGAGTAATTTCCTTTGAGCCCTCTGATGACTGGACATGATGTAAAGAACCACGCACCCACGTAGACACTCCAGGAGGTTGAACTTTGAACTTCTCTTTCCCTTCTTTAAAACCAGAAGGTGGAGACATAGCACAGGAGAATGGCATCCACACAGCCAGAAAGTGGCCTGTCCCCAGCCTGCTGAAGCCCAGCACCCCATCCCACACCCTTCTAAGAGAGGAGCATCTTAGCAGAGGAGCACGGAAGACAGTGGGTGGGGCCTTTCCGTTGAACTCTGCCTCAGGAACAGATGGTGTGATGGAGCTTCACGTTTGTTAGTTTCTCACTGTGCTGAGGAGATACCCACAGAGGAGGGGGTGGGGGGCTGGCTTCGGCTCATGGTTCCGGAAGTGCAGCTGTCACAGTGGCTTGTGGCAGTAGGCATGTGAGGCTACTTGTGCACATCTTGGTGGGTTAGGAAGCAGAAGAGGATGAACACAAGGACCTGGCCACCCTTTCTCTTTTTACTCAGTCCAGGACCTCCATCCCCTGAGGCGGGGACTCTCACACTCAGGGTGGGTCTTCCTTCCACAGATAACCCTCTCTCTGGGAATGCCCTCCTCACCCACCCAGAGTGTGTCTTCTAGGTCAAACTGAACAAGATGATGCATACACCATCACCCGTGGCATCGTCTTTCTCGTGAGACACAAAGAAAGCCAATTGTTCACTGCGGTAGCCACACAAGGAACCAAAAGGACGAATGGCTTTCCACTTCCCAGTGTTGATCTCCGAGTCTGCACTTGAAATCACTCTTGTTTAGTTAAGCCGTATTTGTGAGCAGTAACCAGCAAGGGCAGGGCATGTTTGGGTTCATGGAAGGCATCGAATTGTCTGAGATTTATGGATAGGCTGCTTTCTCCAGTGCCATTTTCCAACTGGATTTCTGCACTATTGTTATGTGTTATAATTATGAAATTATATGTTCTGATTCCATTCTTTTTAATCTACACTGATTATGTAATTGGATCTAATGAACCCAATTATGTAATGGCCTCATTTTTAACTAAAGCCTATTTTAAAGATTCGGGGGCTTAATAAGACACTTTTTACAATGTTTCCATGGCAAGCCAAGCCAAGGGGTCTTTGCAATTCAGAACACTCATTCAGGTCAGTGTGCACATGCCGGCAGCCACCTTGTTGGCTGCCTACATTGTAAGTGGAGACGTTCGTCTTCAGCTTCCGGAGGAGCTGCTTAAATTCCTGCTGGGGCTACACTGCCCGTAGGGGAGCCACCCAGTTAGCGTTCATTCTTCTTTTCCTCTTTGCATTCGAGCAGAAAGCCCATGAATGGCTGGCTGCCTTTTAACATACGTGTCCATCTCTAGATGATCCCCTTTGGCTGTTGTAAGACAGAAATTGAGTCTATAGCAGTGTGACTGCCTCCCACTGTGTCGACCAATGCTATACGTGAGGGTGAAGGATTTGAGCTTCAGAGTGTCATGGTGGATGGAAGCGGGCTGGGGGGGGGAACAGGGCCAAGGGCAAGGCAAGGAAGGTAAGGGCTCTGAACTGCTCCAGGGTTCTGATTGATCAGAAACAGCAGCTGCTGAGTCCGGGAAGGAAGCCCGTGGAAGTAGGGTAGTGGCACATTCTCTACCTCTGCTCTTGAATCTTCCATTGATAAACTATGTCTGGTAGATCAATCAGAACACAGACCAGACGCCAGGTGAACTGAAGGAAAACCCGAGGCCTCCTACTGTCCCTGACTGTCCTAGGGCAGGCATTCACGATGGGGAACACCTTCCTTGGAGTCAGGCTCAGAGAAAGAGGGAGAAGTGACATCTGTAGAGCTTGAGACAGTGGATAATTTGACAACGCAGTGTTCCATGTGTTATTTCAGCGTTCTCATGGTCCTGTCTCAAAAGTTAAACATGGTCTGCCTGTAAGTAAAGCCCCCTTGAGGAACTGCAGTGCAGATTCAATAAAATAACAGGTGCTAACGATTTCACAGAGACAGACGCCTTTGAGCCTTTACCAAGGCTGCACAACAACCAAGAGGGTCCTGATAGCTCTGCCCCATCGTACATTCAAGGAGGCTGAAGCTTAGAAATGACTTGCCCAGTGCATCAAGGGGAGCCCGAGGGGTGCTGTGCCCACAATGCACCCCCCATAGGAACAGCCAGCATGTCTTGGTCAGGACCTGCTTCCTCTGTGAGCAAGCCAGCCCAACTGTCCCCAGCAGCACACATGGCCCGGCACAGAGAGGAGCAATTTTAAGAATTCAGTCCACAGGGCAGAGAGTAGAGCTGGCTGGGAGACAGGAAGTCAGATGACAGCCCTGCAGTGGCAGGGAAGCCTGAGAGGAATTCTAATAAGAAGAGAGAACTGGCTCAGAGCTGTCTGCTGAGGGAGGGCTCCCAACAAGGGCAGAAGCATCCTGACTGCAGTCATGCTGGCACAGGCTGTCTCTGTCCCTTTGACAAGGGTTTTCTGGGTGGCACTCCGCACCAGACCATGACAAACACATAATCAAACACTTGCACCCTCCCACGATGTAGTCTACAGATTCACAGTCTGACGAGGGGTAGGGCAGACTTGCCAACAGGCAGAGAGAACCTAGAACAAACCTCGTGAGTCTCTGCTCCTCCAGGATGCGGTTCCTCCTGAACCTCCCACGCAGGCTGGCCGCAGCCTCACGAGGTTCTCCTCACCTACCCATTGTCATAGCCGGCTGCACTTCAGCAGTCTGGCCTTTCTGGGTTTGTTTCTTTGTTTACAGAACACTCTGCTGCCACTTGGCCAGAGCCTTGGCACTTGTGTGCAGTCAAGGCCTTCACAGTCCCCAGCTCCTTCACGTTGCCAGCATTGCCTGCCACCCTCCCTCCATCCCACTGTCTCCTCTGACCTGCGTGTGCACACACATGTGCATGCATACTCACACACACACACACACACACAGAGGAGGGATACAAGAGCAGGAGAGAGGGGGAGAGAGAGAGAATAAATACAATTTTGAAAGAAAACATCTGTGACCTGTAAGAAATGACAATACATCTTGGAAGTTAAAAAAAATAATAAAAATATGGAATGGTTCATTTTCCCAAAAGCAAGAGCAGGAGCACATTGAAGAGACGGGCACAGGGATGAGGAGTTAAAAGGCCCTGATGACCCTGGAGCGTCTGTAGTTTTCCAGTGTGTGCAGTTGCGGGTGTTGAACAAGAGAGGGGCAAAGCTGCAGGGCCAGTGGTGAGGAGACGGGACCACCTCAGGCCGGTGATGGGGAGACGGGATCACCTCAGGCTGGGGGTGAGGAGACGGGACCACCTCAGGCTGGTGATGGGGAGACGGGATCACCTCAGGCTGGGGGTGGGGAGACGGGATCACCTCAGGCTGGTGATGGGGAGACGGGATCACCTCAGGCTGGTGATAGGGAGACAGGATCACCTCAGGCTGGGGGTGAGGAGACAGGATCACCTCAGGCTGGGGGTGAGGAGACGGGATCACCTCAGGCTGGGGGTGAGGAGACGGGATCACCTCAGGCCAGTGGTGAGGAGAC